TTTATCCTGTAAAACAATGACTCTGACTTGATTTATTTGATCTTTTGATGCAGATTCCTGCCTCACCAGATGACTACAGGAAACATCCCTTTCTGGCGAGCAGGATCAATTATGTTTTTGATTGACGCCAGATCAAAGTAGCGGGGAATACTAGAACTCCTTTCAGCAGTGGTGTTTGTTCAGGAACAAAGCAATAGGAGACATTGCCAGCATAGTGTAGTTCTTTTAGTCTTTCCTGCTTTGCCAGAAAAGCACATTTAGAATCCACCTGAATTGCTACAAATTGTTTTGGTCAGACTAATTTCCAGAATTTAGTTTAATCATTAATTGAACCTATTCTTCACATGTTTGGGAAAAGTCGCATTCCCAGAGAATTCCCCTGCTGCGCATTCCATTCCATTGTCACACTATCCCAGTTTGTCTGTTGCATCTGTTTGGTGCCAACTTCCACCGGGATGCCTCGACATGTCCTTTTTATCTCGACTGAGGAGTCTAACCCCTCCAAGTCCCTACTCTGGTTGACAGGGCCATCAGCCGCGACCAATTCACCTTTTTTGCATTTCTGCCCTTCCCTCTCCTCCGTCCCAGACCAACAACAGGGTTCCCCAGTCCTCACTGTTCACCCTTCTAACCTCCACATTCAAAGCAACATCCTGTGCTGTATCCACTACCTGCAGCAGGATGCCACAACACACCATGTATCATCCCCTCCTTTTGCACTGACAACATTCTATAGGGGCCGTTCTCTCCATGACACACTGGGCCATTTCTCTGTCCCTCCTCAAACTCCTCACTCCTCCATGATGTTTTTCCTTGCAGTCACAGAAGATGTAATATTTGCCCATTTACCACCTCCTTGCTCACTGTCCAAGGCCCTAACCACACCTCCCAGGTAAAGTAGCATTTCACCTGTACTTCTGTCAATCTAGTCTACTTCTTTCACTGCTGAAAATGTGGCCTCCTTTACCAATGTGGACCAAATGTGGACTGTGTAGTTACTTTGCCACACACCTCCACTCTATCTGTAACAATGACCCTGACCTTCCAGTTGTTTACCATCTTAATAAACCACCTTGCTGTCATGCTAACATTTCTGTCCTGGGCTTGCTACAGTGTTCCAATAAGAGGCAACACAAGCTCAAGGAACAGTACCTCATTTCCTACTTAGGTACTTGACAGCCTTAAGATCTCAATATTGAATTTAACAACTTCAGAACCTGCCCATATGATGTCTGTTCTCTCTTTCTCGTGTCTTCTACCCAACCCCACTGCCTTGCCCTTGTGGCTTGTTTAGTTTGCTTTCAGCTCAGAAGGCCCATTCTCTCCCTTTTTCACAGCTTTTACACCCATTTTAATTCTCTTTCCCTCCTTCATCACAAGCCCCTCCGCCTTTTGCAGTCAGCCTCTGCACCATCTCTGTCAAAAGTATAGTTATTTAAAAAGTCAAAAGCAGAAATTGCTGGAAAATCTCGGCATGTCTGGCAGCGTCTGTGGAGAGAAATCGGAGTTAATGTTTCGAGTCCAGTGACCCTTCAGCAATTTCTGTTTGTCTGATTTACAGCATCTACAGATCTTTAGGTTTTTATATTTAAAAAGAAATTTCCAACCCCTTTCAGTTCTGAAGAAGTCATACTGGGCCTAATATTAAGTGTTTGCCTCTCCCCAGACTTTGCTGTACCTGTTGTGTTTCTTAATCACTTTGTGTATCTTTCAGTTTTCCCAGCTAGTTACCTGACTACCTTGTCTTTCACCTCCTTCAGTTGCTGAGGAGTAAATGTCTCCAAGGGATTCTCTGCTTTCCTATCTGGTGCACTAATGTACATTTCTGCTCCTGTCTGTTGGGAGCTTTCTTTTCACTCACCGTCTGTTACGGAGTAATACATTGTTGACTGTGACCTTGTATTGATGAGTAGAAGTGCAGCACAGCAATAAAGGAACTAAAATTCTCAATTTGACGAGCATCTAGATAGAGAGTCTGGAACTTGCACAGTTTGCAATGAATTAGTAATACCTGAGTTTCACTCCATCACAGTGTGGCATGTGTGACTGGCAAGGTTACTGTGGCATAATGAAATTGTACAAATCATGATCAAACTGAACGTGTGTGTCTCCCTGTCTCCCTGTCTCCCTGTCTCCCTGTCTCCCTGTCTCCCTCTTATATGAGAGAAGACATCAATCTAGAATAAATGTGAAAAAGAAGGTCTTAGACACTACAGTAGAGCTGTATTTAATAATCCCATTGTATCGATGATGGTGTGTTACGTTATAAAAGCTGTTGAAAAGCCTTACTTGGAGATCAGGGGTAAACAGCCTCTGCGTTCAGGCATCAACACTGTGTTATTCTAGACTTTTATTTTGATGTGCAGGTAGCAATATTAGCTTAAAGTGCAGGATGAAGCAGGAACAAGTTTCCTAGTATTGATCTAGATAACTGTAGACTTAAGTTTGCTTCTCATTTTCCTTTGCTACGTGTTTCATGAGGAAGAAAAATCTGATTGCAAAATTTGCATTTTGTGGCCTGCACCCAACTCTTGTATCTTGGGTCAATGCAAACTTGTTTTGGTCTGACATGCAAAATGCACTCTTGATTCCCTGCTCTATAAAAAAAAGATCTACAAGCTTGACAAAAGTTTGCTCTTCGTCTAAACTTAGGGTAAAAGTGTGTTTCCTGTGTTAAATGCACAGAACTCTGAATGGAAAAAAAATTGCCACTTAAAACATACAGACTAGAAAAAGCAGTCTTTATGTAACAAAAATACATATGTGAACGTCCTGTATTAAATCTACAAGTCTCAGGAGAAAACAATATATTCTTTCCACTTTTGAGTGAAGAGGTTGTTAGCCAGACTGAAATTGCCAGTAAAAATTTGCTGTGCTCTTTATCTGTCTGGACTGACTGAAGGAACTTTTGTTTGTGTGCCAATTATAAATACCCATGTAAGCTTTTAAAAATGTCTGCATAAAGATCCAAATACAGCTCTGAATGTAGAACAAAGTGCATTAATAATAACGGGTCACAATGGTACAAGCTATCATATGCAATAACTCTCTGCCTTCAGGCATCTTCTTTCCTTCTCTTCCTCCTTTATACTCTCAAGTTCCTCAGAAAAGCTCTGACCTGCAAGAGCCCAATGCCTCAGCTTGGTCACTGTATTAACCTCAGTGAGCATTTGGGCTGTTCAAACAGCAGAACAGGTAACCGATGGTACCAAAGAGATTCAACTGTTGAGCACTTCCTGACCTTTTTAAGCATTCTCAGTTCACACTGACAAATCCATCATCTTTACAATGAGATTACACATACAACATGACTAAATTAGCAATGTAAATCTACTCATGCCAATTGCAATTTTTTTATGAAGCTAGTAGAAAGAGAAAAGATTTGCCAGGCTGTCTGTCTGTCTGTCTCTCACTAATATTGTTGCTCTGTTCCACTTCGCTGCACTGACCACTGTACATGGAACTTTGGGTCAATCTAGATTTGGCATCATTCTGAACCAAGTGCTGAAATATGCAGGCGTTGCGTTTACATCTGCTCGAGCCACCTTTTTTGATTTTTTTTTTGTACTGAATATAGGAAAAAGTTTTATATACTATATTTCTACATGAAAAGATATATTTTAAATTATTTTATAAAGCCTCATAAGCTTTTTGGTTAGATGTTCTGTAAATTTACAACAGGTAAATTATCAGGGAGCTACACTTAAAGGGAATATTTTGCCAATAAATGGTGCTGCTGTGTTGTAGCCCTGTGATACTTTGTCAAAGAGTGCCGTTGGTGAATTTATTGTACAGTTTCTTAATGTTCAGTTCCCTTGAATGTAAAGGTGGTTATGATTGCAGCATGAAGTCCACCTCAAACAGACCTAGTTAAAAATTCTGTCAGTGGAAACATTATGGAATAATTGCTTACAGGTTTTAAAGATGGGAAATGTATTTTATTAACAAGAAATGAAAACAAGCTAGACAGTTTTACATTTGTACAGTAGGCTTATTCATTGAAAGGCAAATATGTGAGTGGTTTGTGATTGTCTCCGAATGTTAACTGCCAGTTCTGCAGTTAGAATTAAAGGGCATTGAAGAGCAAGTGACTTTTCCTGCCTTGATATAAGGGTGTAGGAAGTCATTACATTAGCTTCCAGATGCTTAATGTCAACAAATTGCAACACTAATTGGTTTAAGATTGCATTGTCAATGCCTTGATTAAAGAAGGCTATTGTACAGTCTTGTTTCTTTTGATTCTAACATTTATTTTCTTTTTGCTGGAGACAGCTGCATACAGTATGTTCATTTAAAGACCTTTGGAAGTTTCTTGAATTGAGACAGTTTATTTTCTTTTGATGTTGGCCTTTTTGTTGCATAATGCAAGTAACATCGATTTCCCTGCTTGATGGGAACTCTTGTGTTTATAACAATAACATTTTGAACTTGAAACTGTTTTATTGAAATCGTTTATCTTTTCTAGGTTCCAAATATGTTGTTAGTGAAGATTTTGAAGTACACAGCTTGTTCAGAACTTTCAGCTGGCAGGCAGTTGTTTCTTTTTGAAGTAGTATTGATAGATCTTGCCTCGTGCTACTTGCTACTGTCTTTGTTTGCTACACCAGCAAGAGGATATAGATTTATTTAGCTTTTTCTGGAAGTTGTTCTGGTCAATTGCTATGCATAATATTCAAAGAAAAGAGACTGGAGTTGGGGGGAGGGGAGGTAGGGGGGCGGGTGGTCAAGGTCCCTTTTGAGTCCAGCAATCTTTGTATTTTAGCATGGGTTAATCTGAGCCAAGTTTCCCAGGGCCTTTGACTTTAGCATACGGATGGGTTGGTAAGAGGTTCAAAGAAAGCTGCATGAAAACTGAATGTCACGACACCAGGACAGCAAAGTAGTTAAGCTCAGTGTCAGTGTGAATGCATATTATAAGGCAACTTAGTTTTTTTTCGAACAGAAATTATTCAGAGATTCCACTGCATTTTCAATTTGTGTGTTTATTTTGTTCCATTTAGAAACCTGCTTGACCACAGATACTGAAAATATGGCTTCAGGATTCTCATTCATGTTGCTGAACATGTGCATTACATAATTGCAAAACTTTATCAGCTGAAGAGTACTCTTGTTCGCTTTTGGTGTAGCTGTCGAGCCCTAATTTGAATTGATATTTTTGGTTGGAAAACCCACTCGTTTCCAACTGAGATAAAAATAGTGCCATTTTTCCATTACCTCAAATAGTTGTTGTGTTGAATTATTGAAACCAGGAAGGTCCCACCCTTTGATTCTGCTGAAATAGCAGCTCTGCATCATGATGATAGTAGAAGCAACAGCTTGAAATAAAGGAAAATCACTTTGAGTTCTTGTTTAATAATGGCCTTCCACACTTCGCTGCTGAAGGATCAGATGTGTTCTTTGAATGGCAGAGCAGACTCGTTAGGGTGAATGGCCTTCACTTGATGGTTTTGCAGAATGAATGGCAGGTTCGCAAACTTGTCATCAAGACGTCCTGACACTGCGGAGAGCATGTATGGAACAATTGCTACTGCAACGGCTCTCTTACAGCTGTGCAATTCTTCTCTCTGCTGCTAAGTCTTGGTGATAGTTTATGGCGAAATGCCAACTGTCAAAAATCTACCAAAAATCAAGTGGAGGAAAGGAGGGGAGAAAGTAGCCAATGCAACAAAGTGAAGATCCATGTTGTGGATCTGCTGCTGGATTAGGAACCCAGCAATGTGGGTTGTTAATCCAGACACATTAGGATCCGAACTAATTATCATCTGAGAAATTTTAATATTTAAAAATCTGCAAACTAAAAGCCCGATACCAGTAAAAGTGACAATGAAGCTGTCAAAGTGTTGTATAATAATGGCCTCCATGTGTCTGCGTTCTGGCCTAAATGATGTGAGATACCTGGCCCACACCAATGTGGTTAACTCGTAAGCGCCTTCTGATGTAGCTGGGAAAGACAAACTAGGGATGGACAGTAAAAGCTGCCCTTGCTAACAATGCCCATGTACAGAGAGAGAAGAAAACATTGTATCTGTGTATTCATTAAATTTCTAGGAGCTAATGTATCTAACTTACCAAAAGTTGTCCAAAATATATTCCTTCTAAATTTGAAAAACGTGGCCATCTCTCAGTAAGTCAAATATTTTTCACAAGCTTTATTAAAAAGGGGAAAGTCTTTCAGATAATCAAGATTTTTGATAGGACCTTAAACAAAGAAATACTTGTGCAGTGTTGTCTTTGACAAAGCACATGAAGAGTGCTTGCTAAATCATGGATAGCAAGCTTCTACAAACAGCATGGTGCTAATGACCAGATGATTTGTCTTTATGGTGTTAATTGTGAGGACTTTGCTATTCTTCTGAGATAGTACCTTTGAAATCTTTCATATCCACTTGAGAGGTAGATTGGGACTATAATTAAAGTCTTATCTGAAAGATAGTGCAGCACTCCATCAGGACTGCATGGGGTGTCACCCTTGGTATGTACTCAAGTCCTTGGATAAAGAACTTTTTAAAGCTTTCAACTCCAAAACAAGAAAGTTGCATTCTAACCAAAGTGTATTTCAAATACTTCTGGCATCAATGCTCACCCCTCCATCTTAAGCTTTTATTAAGAAATTGTAGTGAACTGCAGGAGTCACTCTGACTTTGAGTGCTCTCAAGCCTGGCTATTTCACAAGCTTATTTATTTGCAAATTTTAACATCTCCCATCTACCAATCTTATTTCTCAGTCCTTTACTGCAGCCACCTTCCTCAAAATCTTCTCCATTGACCCTTCCTCACCCCCAGCCAAATTCTTTTACGACTGCCTGTGAGTTCGCCTGATTCTGAGAATCAGTGGGCAATCTGAGATAAACTTGTCGTTAAATCAGGCAGGAGTAGATCAGGTGGATTGTGCATTTTAGCTAGAATCTGGATATACCAGTTCCTGGCCTTTGTTCATTATTGTTGGGCTTGTTTTGTGCAGCACCTCCATCAAAATTAAATATAGTATCTTCCTTCCCGTCAGACCTGTGGTGGTCGGGTGGGGGGGGTTGCGGGGTGGATGCTGACAGTGTGTGTGATTCTAATGTGATGCACTGATACGAAAGAGAAACCCTGGCCTCCTGGGCAATGGACATGGGAAGCTCAGCTCTTGTTCCTAGCTTGCACTCATGAAGGACACAGACAGCATAAGCAAATAAGTGGTCCCCTTTGCACGATGCAACTTGCTCATTGCAAACAGTTAGCCAGCCCTCTAGGTGGATGGCTGAGCTTCACCAATATTGGCAAGTTCTGAGGAAGGGTCACTCCACCCAAAACGTTAACTTTGATTTCTCTTCACAGATGCTGCCAGACCTGCTGAGCTTTTCCAAACAAAAACTTTCTTTTTCAGTAAATCAGAGCTTTCCTGGGATTCCATTCCTGGCAGATTTGTAGTGGTTGTTCCTATTAGTTCTTGTGTTGATATGGATGGATCGTTATGTATTGATAAATTTGTATTCTGTGCCTCTGATTAGCCTGTTGCCTCAAAATTGATATGATACCTCTCACTGATGTGTGCATAGCCCATAGATTTCAATAACATCCAAGTTGGATTATTCTATTGTAATTTTGAGTCATCAAGATATACAGCATGAAAACAGACCCTTTAGTCCAACTCATCCATGGTGACTATATACCCTAAATTAATCTAACCACACTTGCCAGCATTTGGCCCAAACTCCCTCTCAACCCTTTCTATTCATGTTCCCATCTAGATGCATTTTAAATGTTATAATTGTACCAGCCTCCTCCTCCACCTTTTGGCTACTCATTCCATACACAACCTCCCTCTGCATGAAAAAGTTGCCCTTAGATCCCTTCTAAGTTGTTCCCCTTAGACCTATGCTTTCTAGTTTTGGATGTTGGTGGGGGGGGAAAAGACTTTGGCTATTTACTCTATGTCCCTCATGATTTTATAAACCTCTAAGGTCACCTTTTTGCCTCCACTCCAGAGAAAACAGCCCCAGGCTATTTAGCCTCTCCCTATAGCTCAAACCCTCCAACCCTGGCAACATCCTTATAAATACTTTTTCAAATTTTCAACATCTTTCCTATAGCAGAATAGAGATCAGAATTGAACGCAGTATTCCAAAAGTCATTTATACATATCACCAACAGCAGAGGTCCTAGTACAGAACCCTATGGAAAACCACTAGTCATGGACCTCCAGCCAAAAAGAAAACACGCATCCACCATTACCCTCTGCCTCCTATGGGCAAGCCAATTCTGAATCCAGGTGGCTAAGTCACCCATGGATCCCATGGATCACTTGAACTCAGACCTGCAGTAAGAACCTTTGAAAGGACTGACGTCAGTGTGAACATGTGGATAGGATATCAGCTCCCAGAAACTTTTCAAACACTTTCCCCAGCTTGGAAATGGACAAGGCTTCTCTCCAGCAGAAACCCAATTGGTTTCTCATTCGACTCGATGACTGAGTGAAATAATGCTTCTGCTGTGAAGAACTGTATCTTCTAACTTGGAGCGCAAGGACAAAAGAAGTAGAAGCAGGGGTAGACCCTGCTTGAACCTACTCCTCCATTGCATGTGATTCTGACCCATAACTAGCCTTCCTTCCAGTTCTTGCTGTTAGTTGTTGATTTTTCAAGAAAGCCATGATCTGTCTGTCAGTCTCATCCTTAAATATGATTAAGCATCCACAAACCTCTGGGGTACGGGATTCCAAAATTCCCAATTCCCAATCATCTACATAAAGATATCGGTCCTCGTCACTGTCCTAACTAAATAGGGCCACAGTTTTGAGATAAGGGACTATGTCCTAATTCTCGAGCCAGGGCACACCACCTCTTAATGTCTATGCTATTGAGCCTCCTTTGTATCTTTTCAGTAAGATCACGTCTCTTCTTCTGAACCCTGCAGCATACCAGCTCAATTTTCTCTGCCTCTTTTGGATGGTCAGTCCTCCCAATCTGACATGGGTGTGGAAATCGTGGTTGGGCGGGGTGGTCTGTGATTTACTTGAAACAATTAGCATTGAGAGGGAGAAGGTATTGGTAGTTTCAGCAGGTCTGAAATTAGATAAACTCCTAAGACCAGTTGAGATGTATCCCAGGTTGCTGTTGGAGGCAAGGGAAGAGATTGCAGGAGCCTTCGCATGAATTTTCAAATTCTCTTGCCCGAAGACTAGAGTTAATGTGATCCCATTATTTGAGAAGTGTGACAAAGATGAACCGGGAAACTACAGACCATGAGCCTAACATCAGTGGTAGGGAGAGAATTAATAACAACTATTTGTTGAGGCATGAATAAATCCAGGAGAGTCAGCATGGATTTGTAAGGACGTGTTTATGTCTAATAAAGTTGACTTGAATTATGTGAGGAGATAAACAGATGCATAGATGAGGCTAGTATAGTTTATCTAGTCTACATGGACTTCAGTAGGGTTTTTGGCAAGGACTCTCAAGGCAAGCTCGTTGAGCTAAGAGACAATGGAATCCAGGGCAAATCGGATAGAAAAATTGGCACAGCGGCAGGAAACGGAGGATGATGGTTGTAAGGATGTTTTTCTGACTGGAAGCCTGTGTCAAGTGGCATACCATTTGTAGCATACAGTTAATGATCTAGACATGAACGTGGGAGGTATGGTTAGTAAGTTTGCAGATGACTTGAAAACTGGTGTGGTAAATAGTGAGGTTGAAAGCCTTGGATTGTAGGATGGTTACAGATGGTCTGGCTAGTTAGACTGAAAAGTGAAGTGATGTGTTTTTGGGAGGACTGATAAACTAAGGGAGTACCTAATGAATGATAGGACCTGAGGAAGTGCAAGAGATCAGGGTGTTCTTGTCATCTATGCCGTCTAGGTCGAATGGCCTACTCGTGCTTCAAGGTAGCAGGACAGATAGATAAGGTTTTTAAGGCGGCATATGGGACACTTTCCTTTATTAGTCAAAGCATTGAATACAAGAGTAAGGAGGTTATGATGGAGCTATTTATAGCATTAGTTAGGCCACAGCTGGAGTACTGTGCAGTTGTGGCTGCCATACTATAGGAAGGATATAATTGCGCTAGTGGGGTTGCAGTAGAGATTCACCAGGATATTGCATGGGCTGGAAGAGTGATTAGATAGGCTAATGTTGTTTTCCTTAGAGCAGTGCTGGTTA